TTGCAATTTTTTTACAATAACTTTCAAACTTTTATTTTCATGTTGACTATACTTGATTTTCTATTTCATGTCAGAAATAAATGTCAACGCAATCACTTTTGAGAAATAATGTAAAGATTTTTCTTTCGAAGAATAAACAACTCATTTATTTCACACTTCAATTCTCTCAAATTTACCTGCCGGGATTAATACTTAATATCAAAACTGAATAAAAATTATTGAGAAAGTATATTATCGGTTCAGAAACAACTCAGTTTCAGTTATACTTTCTTATGATAAAATGATTTATAATACCATCCCTTATTTCATACATCTTACAATAAGATCGAGAATTTGAACACACATGATTTAAAATAAAGAGACTTACTCGTTATGACCAGGCATTAGGGGATATTTATCAGGTAGTCAAGGAGTATTCAGTTCAAATCTGAGCTCTTGCAGTTGAGGAAGATGTTCAAGTAAATGTGATAGAAAACCTAGGGAACATTGTCGAAGTACAATTGATTGTAAGTTCAAAAGACTTATTTCAATCGGCATGAAAGTTTTACCAAGTGGTAGAACTATTTAACGATCTAGAGTTTTATATATGTATATCCAGAAACGGAGATGGCATACATGTAACAAAGGAAATAAGTGAAAGATTCTTTCATAATATGCACCTTCAGGCACACCTTCATATGTATAAGCAGCACGATAGTAAGTTGGAAAATGCACGCTAAACATGAAGAGAGAAGTATTGGATGAGAATGCGTTGAGTATCATTTCAAACGAAGAACGTTTAATGTCAATTAAAGATAAATGACGAAGATTGATGAAGGTAGATAAATGTTCAGCTAACCATAATTCATTATCAATAGCTAATGTATCTGAGACACATAATGATATAAGATAATTAGAAACGTTTGTTTGTAATAAATGTGTATAATAGAATTCAGTCAATGCCATATTCATTCCATTTAGACCCAAGTAAACGTGAATAGGTGACATATTACCCCTGAATGACGTAAATGAATTACAAAATAATTCAAAAACACTGAATTACAAAATAATTCACTTTCTATTAGTTTCTACCAGGGTCTAGGGTCTACCAGGGTCTACCAGGGTCTACCAGGGTCTACCAGGGTCTACCAGGGTCTAGGGTCTACCAGGGTCTACCAGGGTCTACTAGAGTCTCGATGTGGGTGCTGCGAAACAACATACATCACATCTCTCTCGTTGTGGGTGCCGCGAAACGACTTACATCACGTCTCTCTCGATGTGGGTATCGCGAAACCCTGGTAGACCCTGGTAGACCCTGGTAGACCCTAGACCCTGGTAGACCCTGGTAGACCCTAGACCCTGGTAGACCCTGGTAGACCCTGGTAGACCCTGGTAGACCCTGGTAGACCCTAGACCCTGGTAGAAACTAATAGAAAGTGAATTATTTTGTAACTCAGTGTTTTTGAATTATTTTGTAATTCATTTACGTCATGGTCTCCACTTACATGATGTTTTCGAGGAAAAAAACTTTAAAGTTGTTTTTCTATTTGAAAAAATCAATATTTGTCACAACATAATCAATAATGAAAGACTAAAATAATCTATCCTTCATTTGATCTAATATGAGCTAATTGTAGTAGATTCAATTGCTTGGTTTTTTTTTGTGTAGGGTAATCCTATCAGAATATTTTGTTTTTTAAATTAAGAAATAATTAGACTGCTTCGTGTAACTTTTATTGATATGTACTTTGTCAAAAATCAGTGTTGTTTTTTGTGCCGTACTTATTAAAAATCAAAAAAACAATAAATAAAAAGAACTTTTAATTTCAACATTTATATGATTTCAATGGAACACAAATAGGACGAGATGCAAAATTCTTCTATTTATAAAATGATGTTATATATTTTTTATATGTCTAGATATCTCTGGTTGATAATGTAAAACAATTTCGACAAATAACTCTCATTATTTCTTATGTAATTTTTATCAAAAGATAATTAGCGTTTAACATGGGATACATCAAATTTTATGATTTCAATTAAAAAAAATGCAAGATGTCCATCTTTTTTCCTCATTTGCTATTAAGTTTCAGTATCTCTTTTATTAAACACATTTTGTTAGAATATGAGACGTTTTGAAGATAAAACAACACTATGTCATCAATTTTTGTGTTTTATCTATGTTACTTTTTTTGTTATAGGTAACAAAGGGATAATTAACCGTAGAGAGCGAATGGTTATACACAAAAAAAATGGTCTCTGAAAGCTTAGTCAAGGCATCTGAAGCTATTTTTTGCTTTATTTTGTTGTGAAAAATCAAAAAAAAGGATGTGGGTGTGAGTGTTGATGTGGATGTGGATATGGGTGTGAAGTGTGAATGGATGTGAGTGGGCGTGGGTCCGTGTGTTTGGGTAAAACTGTCTCTTACATCTCCATACCCACATTCACACCAACACTCACACCCACCCACACCCACACCCACACCCTGCTCTCTCTTTACTATTTTTATGGGTTTTTAACCTTTCATGTGGAGATCAATCTTTATATTCTGTTACTTCGATGTTTAGTATTCATTTAATCTATTCGTTTAATATTTTCTAGATATACTCGTTGTGAACATTATTCTAAAGATGTATTAAATTGTAATGAAGTTATTTGTTTAAGTCTAAATTTTGTTCGTGCTCATCTTTATCATAGTTGTTTAAAATATTCTCTTCGTTTTTATGATCATACTATTAAAGATTTATCAATAACATTACAAATTGATCCATCTTGTTCACAATTTCAAAAGAAACGAGATAGACAAAAAAAGAAAATACTTAGTCCTTTAACAGTATTTATAATTGTTGTGTGTAATCATAAGAAAAAACTAAAAAATAAAGCAAGTTTTTATTTCAAAATAATCAATCAAATTCATTTTGTTTTCAGAATCTATTAATCACAATGTTAAGTGATCAAGAGAACACTTGAACAATGAAACTTTCTGTCATATCAATATATCTTTTTTTTTCTTTATCGAATTGAGCAAAGAAAAAAAAATGAACTACAAAAGAACAACTTCTTTTCTCAAACATCCACCTCAAATGTAATAAACAAAGTGAAAACTATTATTAATGCAAACTCTCATGTATTTTTGGGAATTTATATTATTTCATTGCTTTACTTTCTTTATTTAAGTTCGACCAGATGTACATAGAAATACAATGATTTCATATAAGAAAATGAATTAATAATATAATTCATTGTTTTTGTTTAACATGTAGTTATTTTTGAACAAGATCTATGTCAACTGATTGAAAAATTAAAAGAATTTACTTTTCTCGATATTTATGACGAAATTCATTATGAAAAAGTTGAATCTTATCATTTAATAGTTCAAATTCACTTTCCCAATAATCGAATAGATATTGAAATATCATGCATGTTAAAAACAATTATTATAGCTCAATACTCATTTTGCTCTGCTTATTTTTCTTTGATGTTATATACTGTAAAATACTTCTATTCAATAACGAAATATTTATATTATTCTTCAAACAATATTTTATTACTTTTTGAACGATTCATCATAAACGAAAGTGAGATATGCAAAAAATTTCAAAGTATTATATAGAACATATAACGGCGTTTATTTTGACTGAAATCAATATCTCTTCTGTAAGTTTTATTACTAATTGTCAAATAAATAGGGCGTAGATGTAGACGTATCTTCGTTGTGACTCATACCTACACCGTACATCAACATCAATGTGATAAAAATTGCAAAAGAAACGAAAATTGACTGAGCCATCCGCCTTACAATCACAGTCATATATTTCACATAAAAATCAGATATTCAATGGACCATGCGACACAGAACTAATATCGTTTGAATGTGTACATCGTAAAAAGAGATACATTATCAATTGACGAATAGTCCACGTAATGTAGATATTTTTATACGGCTTTATATGATCTATTCATTAAATGATAAGATTTTATTTCATGATGTATACGTTCAAGTAACACATTCAATGAACCATGCAATACAGAACTTATATCATTTGAATGAGTACATCGTCAAAAGAAACACATTATCAATTAACGAATAGTCCATATTGAGTGAATTTTTATGCGACCTTACATTGTTGTCATCGTTCTTCTTCTTCTTCTTCTAACTTTCTTCATTAAGTACCTTCAAATTACTTCACATACATCATCGAGTAATCAGCAATCATTTGATTGTACACAACTATGTCCTTATAGAAGTAACCTAACACGTACTCATCTCAAATTTGATTCGAAATATTTCGTTCGACATAACCCTGAGTTTATTTGTCAAGAGAATTTTCGTAACCTAGCCGATTGGGTCTACGGTTGGTCTGATCAGTCCCATGAATATGTCCAGGTGTCAACTACTGATGGACAGCGTATTGCTCCTTGCTTACCTCACGGCAGTATAATCTATGTTTGTATTGGGTCTATCAACACGTTTTTTGCCAAAGTTTATCCACATTTAATCAATGATTTTGTTTTGATTACGGGTGGAGGTGATTTATCATCGCCGAATATGGCTTATTTGGAGCGAACTGATTCGAAAATTATTCATTGGTTTGGACAAAATGGAATAATTGATGCTTCGATAAGCAAGAAATTCACACATATTCCATCGGTTAGACTTAGATGACTACTCAATGATGATTTTCTTCTATTGGTAGAAAACGAATATAAACGAAGCATGCTCTGAAAGATAGCAGGGTTTTTAATATAAATTATTTTCTTTCTTCATACAATACGAAGCACTGATTGTCAGAAAAATTCACTTGTTTCGCTTCTAAACCTCAAGTAATTGAAAACAGTACATTTTCGAAAAATATCCATTGAAAAAAAAAATTGTTTTTGGATGTGGGTAAGAATGAGACTCTTAGTTCTGTCCACATTAACATCTAAACTCTATTGTTGTCTAGCAGTGCTTAGTATGAGTTCAGCACAGATTTTTGTTTTTCTTTGAAATTTTAACGATAGGGCTTCACTGTCACTCAATGGTCCAAGCGATTAGAAGTGTTTATAAGCAGCAAAACAATCATACATTGCCTTCAATTTATAATGATAATGATGAACCACCATATTATATTCAACCAATTGATATGACTCGACGAGCGTTGAATCAAAAACATGATCTTCAGAGAAAGAATCTTTTATTGGTTAATTTTAATCAACATACTGATGGAAGAGGATTTCGTCAACAGATTTGGACACATATGTGTCCGAAAAATAATCGAGCTCCATTTATAACATGTTTATATAAGTCACCTAGTTTCGATATGTCATATATTTCAGATATCTATGCACGAAATCGTCAATATTTATTTTGGTTATCACCACGTGGAAATGGAATTGATTGTTATCGTACATGGAAAGCGTTGTATCTTGATGCAATACCGATTGTTTGGAACTCATCATTGACTATTCTCTATGAACATTTGCCTGTTGTAATTATTCAAAATTATACAGACATCAACGGAACATTTTTACGCGAGAAACTACATGAAATATCAATGAAGAAATATTTTCGAATGAATCAAGTGTATCGATTTGAAAAATTACGAAATGCATATTGGCGCCGATTGATTTTGAATAAATCAAGACATTCATTGAAAAATAACAATATACGAATCAATTGATGTTGGCGAGCTAGAATCTCAAGGAAGTCCTTTCTATTCTCGCTGTTTTCATAAGAAAGAGAAACTGATAAATTATATGAAAATGTGTCATTGAATTCTGTTCTCATTTCGAATCATCTCACATCGTTTGTACTATTTTCGTTTGATCCAAATAAATGAACAACAAAGATAAATATTATCATACTGAGACAATCGTATTAATAATATCAAAAATTTCCTAATATAAATTGTACAGAAAGTTTCAAGGGTGGGGTGTGGGTGTGAATGTGGGATGGGTGTGGCTGTGTGTGTGGCTGTGGGTGTGGGTGTGGGTGTGGGGTGTGGGTGTGGGTGTGGATTCAAAGACAATAAACACACCCTCACACCCACACCCTCCCCATTACAGACAGACCCTCATTACAGACACCCCCATTGCAGCCTTTAGTAATTAAGAATAACAGGCGCCAGATGTTCTAGTTTCTTTGAAAGATTGATCAAGTTATAATTTTGAAAGATAATCAACATCGTTGTTTGAGTTGATTAATGTATATATATGATAGCGCGTAAGATCTTCTATAAATATCATGGATATGTAATACAGATTTATTTGCCAATTAATTTAATGATTATAATGATAAGAATGTTGAATTATGAAAAACGAATTTAAAAAAACATAAAAGATAATGAGCGAATAGCAACAATGCAAAATAAAAATAGGGTGCCGGTAGAAAAAAAATTTCTGTTTGAAATGCAGAAATTAGAAAGATTCTTAGTCTGATTTTCGATTATCCTACAAAACAACTACTTAGGGCAAACCAAAAGTTCGTAGAACGGTTTTAAATAACCTTATCGGATAAGGTAACCTATTCAGAAATGAAAAACCAAATATACCATGTTGTAGAGTTTTTTGAGGCGCGTCGAATGGTATATAATAAATCCTGTTTTCATAAGACTTTGAAGGAACTATAGTTAATTTACTGATAGACAACTATGCACCCATACTCACACCATCACCTAAGTATGATAGGTTACTGAATATTGTGGTCCTTGGAATTAGTCGAAAGTATTTGTAAAATATTTTTTCTCACATACGATTTTGCAGAGTTTTTGACGGGCTACAACCTCATATATGTAGCATCTCCGGTCATCTTGTCAGTGTGGGAATGAGTGGATGTGAGTGTGGGTGTGTAGTCGTCTATCAGTAAATTGACTCTAGCTCCTTCAAAGTCTTATGAAAACAGGATTTATTATATACCATTTGACGCGCCTCAAAAAGCTCTACAACATGGTATATTTGGTTTTTCATTTTTGAATACGTTATCTTATCCGACAAGGTTCTTTAAAACCGTTCTACGAACTTTTGGTTTGCCCTAAGTATAGTCTACGAGATGTTTCTCATTTTACATATTGTATATTAGTTTAATGAGGCTAGAGAGCATATGTGAGTTTCACATTTCAGCTCCAAAGGGGTCGCACTAACAAGCTTCGTTAGCTCTTACTTTATTTTCATTTCCCTTCTTCTTTTTCTCTCTTCCGTGTGTATGTATAAATAGCTCTGCTCGCATATCGTTTATTAATCATTTCCGACCCACTTTCCTCTTCCTTTCCTGTTTGTACTATTTTCCTTTTCCAAAGATATGAAATAATAAACGATAAACATATTAACATTCTGTCATAAAATTGAAAATAATTTCCTTTCATTTTAAAAGTTCACAAGCCATAATCTAGAGTTGGAGGACATACTCTTCATCATGTCAAAGAGAATAATATCTTCGCTTTTATCATTTTTTACGAGAAAATCTATCTATTACCGATGTATATTATGAGTGGTGATAGAACAACAGTAGAAATGATAGTGTAAATTCGAATTAAAATATAATGTGTTTTTCCTTTTAGTAACTAATATATCTTTGTTTACTAGTGGTTACTTTCTTTTTATTAGTTATTTTTCTGACTACTCTAGCAGAGTAGCGATATCCAACTTAAGTTGATTTGAGGATTACGTTATCCGAAAAGCTTTTCTCTTTGAATTCAACAGTACTTGTTACTGCAATTCGGTTTATTATCCTGAAGATGAAAAGTTAATAACGTCATCAGTAATAAAGAAATAGCAACTCAATGACAGTCACGGCATCTCAAGGAACAATGAAAATAATAAGTCGTAAAAACACGTTATTAATCCTTCTTTCTCTCACTTTCTATCTGTTTTTATTAGCATTCGCTCGACTTAAAATATTATTTTTAATTTTGAAAAAAACAAAATCTTTTTCTAATATAAAAACCCGAATCATGATCTCAAAAATTTTCATAGAGATCTTGCTTGTTACTACAAACTGTACTAGTATTTATAACTAATTAGAAACGATCGAGTATGATTCCAATACTAATTGTATAAATGTTTACTACGTCGTTCTCTTTTCTTATTAACATATTTTTCTTTAAGCTATTCGCAGATTAACACTAGTTTATTTCTTATCTAACATCATTAAATCATACAAATATTTAAAAAAATTTTTCTAAGAATCAGACTGAAATTATAGCATAAGAACATTCTCGAAGAACACATTAAATTTTTTATATAAGGTTACTAGATTTTAACTTGATTATCATTATAATGGCTTTTTTTTTACAATAAATCATACCTTTTAAGTTTCATAAGACATTTGATTTACATTTTAGACTATAAAGATAAAATCTACGATTTTTTTTGAACATTTTCCTACACATCTAATCTGAGTATTGACCGAAAAACAAAAAACAATAATCTGTGTATTATATCGTCTATTTACAAAGTAGTATTTCAAAGTAAACACATTCATATCAACAATCAGTTTAAATCTCTCTTTCATTTGATAACATTCTCTTCTTTCGTTGCCATGTCATCAAATGTTACTACATACCACACCACTACGTCGACCATTACCACTCTCGTGGACGAGAGTTATTTGTCACGAATAACCAAATCCTCCATACTTCTTACTGGACAGATAGTATCAATTCCCTGCTATCTGTTTATTTTATATCATCTTGTCGCAACACAAACAGCTCGACAATTAGTATACAATCATGTCGTATTTGTCGTAATGATTCTTAACTTTCTAATTGTTACCTATGATTTGGGAATGCTGATAAACTTTTCTCAACAAGGGATCGTTAGTCCAGCAACAGTCGTTGTCTGTTTCATGTGGCAATATATCGATTACATGTGTTACAATTTAGGCATCCTTCTCATTTTATGGGCATCGATCGAACGACACATTCTCATCTTTTCGCAACATTTGGTTAATAGTTTCCGTCGGCGACTTGTGTTTCATTACTTGCCTATTGCAGCTCTAATCATATATACGGGTATATTTTACATATATGTTGTCTTTCTCTATCCATGTGACAAAACTCCCGTTCCTACACGTCAATATTGTGGACGTCCATGCTACATAAATGTAGGTGTGGCAGCACTAGTATATTACGAATCATTCGCTCATCAAATTTGTCCAATATTTCTGACTGCTTTCTTCAGTGGTCTTTTATTGTTTCGTATCGTCCGACAAAAACAACGTGTTCAACAAGTCATACGATGGCGTCAGTTTCGAAAAATGACTATACAACTCATCTACATTACATGTATTCATGTTGTCTTTGCACTCCCATATATTATTGTTGTTCTTATCAATTGGACAGGCTTTCCTACAGTCGGAGTAAACATACGAAGATATTATCTCGATCCACTTAGCTATTTTATCTCTATTCTTCTACCATTTGCTATTCTCCTATCGTTACCCGATTTGAAAGAAAAATTGAAAATATTATTTATTTGTCGTCGTCGTCGACAAATGCTTGTTCCAGTCACAAGAACAGTTGTCGGTAACACATTGATGAATTAGACTCATTGTTCTTACCCTGAAAATAGTTACGATTAACTTTATTTGGATCGAGTTTTTATATGTTTTTGAATATTATTTTCTTATAAATCTAGCACACTCTTTTAGTTATTTATTCTGGACATCAAAACAATAGTTTTTTTTTGAAAAAAAGTGGATCTAGTTATTGAAATAGTAATACGAAATTGCACATCCACTTTATATCATAGCTGCAGTGATTTCAAACATTATAATAATAAAAATAATTGTAGTAAATATGAGCAGAACTTAGTTTTTTGAATATCCATTCCTATATTTGTTCTCTAAAGTCAAAATTCTTAGTTCCGATTCTAGATAGAAAAAAAAAAGCAAGAGTCGTCAAATAGTGAGAACTAATTAAGTGACGAACACTACTGTCCATTACGTACATTCTATTTCTATTAAAGTTAATATTCGAAACATGCCTAACTGATGGAGTAAAATACTGTCTCAAATGATGAATATATCGTATAGAAGTAAAATCTATAATGAACATATGATATCAGATATGCACTCTACTTGAAGAAATTGTTTTTTCACTCTGTGTTGTATT